AAGGGAGAAAAAAAGCCAGTGACGTTCTGAGACTCGCTGCACGGCCTGGGGCCAGAAGGACTCATCTGCCTGCTCCATGAGACATTGTATCCTTGAAGCTGCAGCTGCTTTCTGGAGCAAGAAAGATATTGAACCTGGCTTTTCTTAACATGAGCTACAAAGGAGGAGTCTGGGAAGCCTGGCTTGTCTATATCAGGTGACCGTGGGCTCTTGGAAGCAGTTCAGGAGCTGCAGAGCAAGGGGCTAAACAAGGACACCAGTGTGCCTTGCCAGGGAGACCTAAAGCTGGTCTCGGAGGTCTGGGGAGATCTCCACTTCTCACTAGGTGGCCCCTGGAGGGCCAGGCCTCCCTGAAGTGACCTTGACCTCCCAGCTGTTTTCAGCTGGGTGAAAGCATGACAGCGCAGGCCAGCAGAGGGCGCGCTGCCAGATCTCTCTGCCTGGATCACGGGGACCTTGCCCGGCAGACATGCTGGTCACTCCTGGGGGCATCTGTATGACATCCCCACCCTCCGCTCTCTCTGCCATGGTTGCTGCCTGAAAAGAACTAGGAGCAATCTCTGGCTGGGTAACTTGACTAAAATCGCTAAGCTACTCCAGAAGCAAGAGGCAAAGGCAGGATGGAAGCTTGTGTGAGAGAAACCCACTTTTCTGTGGGGTTCTGTGTCCCACAGAGTGCTGAGAGCACTAAGTGTGGCCCATAAGGAAGGCTGCCTCCATCACAGGGAAGTCCTGGAATTGCACCTGCCCTTAAAGAAGAGGGTAGAACAGGTGGAAGAGAGATAACCATGCCAGCCAGCAAGTCACTGCTGCAGAAGAAGGAGGAATAAACAGGAGAATGGACATCACGTGGGAATGTGAGAAACTTACGCTGTTTCTACAAAATGAGTATGAGGCTGTTCTTAAGTGCGTACAGGATGAGCGTACAGATAGTTTGACAAAACAAAATGAAAACCCAATAAAATGTGCACATCGTGTTTCCACACAAATACGCCTACCGAGGAGGAGGGAAGGGTGTATAGTCAGAGCTGTAATGAATGACAGACATTTGTATGGCAGGTGGAAGCCAACGACAGATATTTTATAACAAGCATAAAAACCTAAAACACCTTTATCATTTGGGTTAAAGAAAGGCGACTGTGGTTTTCCGCCACAATATTCCGACCTACACAGAATTTTCATGGAAATTCAGATAGATGTACTTCTAGATTCTCAATGTTGTCTCTGAGGATGGCAGTGTTGACAGAACACAGCTTTGTCATGACCCACAGGGGTGATATTCTGCTGAGCTGTCCCAGCTTCTGAGAAATTTAATTTGGGCCAAGAGGAGGAGATAGAAGTAGGGAATGAGCCCACATAGATTGTGAAGGCTTGTCAGGAAGACAAGGAATCAGCTTTGAGTAGAAAATGGATTCTGGGCAGCTGCGTGATATGTTGAGAGAAATTAAGTTACACTGTGTCCCAATCTTACTGGGTCAGTAAGACTGACATGATACCAGACTATGAGCTGAGCAAGGTTTCAGTTTGCAATTTGAATGCTACATCCCATCATTTTTTGTTTGTTTTTGTTTGTTTCTGTTTTGTTTTTGTTTTGAGATAGATGGAGTCTTGCTCTGTCACCCAGGCTGGAGCGCAGTGGCACGATCTTGGCTCACTGCAACCTCTACCTCCCAGGTTCAGGCAATTCTCCTGCCTCAGCCTCCTGAATAACTGGAACTAGAGATATGTGCCACCATTCCCAGCTAATTTTTGTGTTTTTAGTAGAGATAGGGTTTCACCAAGTTGACCAGGCTGGCCTTGAACTCCTGATCTCAAGTGATCCACCCACCTCAGCCTCCCAACGTGCTGGGATTACAGGCATGAGCCACTAAGCACCTGGCTCCATCACTGCATTTTTTATTATTCTTTTAAAGAAGCTCTTTGACCTTTCTGTATTAGAATTGGTCCTAATCCTCTTAAAATCTGCATAGCAACAGATGAAGGATTAACCACCCAGAAGATGACTGTGTTTTTTCTTTCAGTCGTAAGTATAACTCAGCCAGTAAATCTAGTCTCAATAATTTTGTTTTTGCTTTTACAGTTCTGCCTCTAAACACCAGAATAATTTTCCCCCTCACTTTTAACAACTATCTGCAAAAGATAATAATAACAATTTCATAGAGATTATGAGGACTGATTCTAACAAATCCAGTAAAATTTTTGACAAGTGTATCAAGACCATGAAATGGGGAAAGAACAGTCATTTCCAACAGATAGTGCTGGGGAAGCAGGGTATTCACATGCAAAAGATGCAGGTGGACCCTTACCTTATACTATCTGCAAAAAGTGACTCAAAACAGATCAAAGGCCCAAAAATAAGAGCTAAAACTATGAAACTCTTAGAAGAAAACATAGGGGAAAGCGTTACAACGACGGATTTGACAATGATTTCTAGGACATGACACGAAAAGCACAGGCAACAAAAGAAAAAAATGCATCAGTCAGACTACATCAAAGTAAAAACTTCTGTGACTACAGAATGGGAGAAAATATTTGCAAATCATATACCTGATAGTTAATACCCAAAATATGTAAAGAACTCCTATAACTCAACAACAAAAGGAACAACCTGTTTAAAAATTAAGCAAAGGACTTAACTAGACAATTCTCCAAAGAAGATATACACACAGCTAACGAGCACATGAAAAGATCATTAATCATCAGGGAAATGCAGGTCAAAACCACAATGTGATACTACCTCATTCGCATTAACATGGCTGCCCTCAAAACAAATTCCACTTTGTGGCATATACCGGAAAGGCTTGAAAGCAGGATCTTGAAGAGCTATTTTCTTACTCTCATATTTATGGTAACACTATTTACAATAATAAGAGGTGGATGGAAGCAACCCAGATGTTCATCAACAGATGAATGGATCAACAAAACACAGGATACAGAGAACAATGGGCTATTATTCTGTCTTAAAAAAGAAGAAAATTCAGACGTGCTACAACGTGAAGGAACCTCGAGAACATTACTAGTGAAATAAAATAGTCACAAAAACACAAATATTGTATGATTCCACTTATGTGATGTTCCCACTGTAGTCAAAAATTCATAGAGAAAGAAAGTAAAATGGTGACTGTTGGAGGCTGGTGGGAGGGGCATGGGGAGCTACTGTTTCATGGGTGTCGAGTTTCAGCTTTGCAAGATGAAGAATTCAGGAGATGCACTTAATACCACTGAACTGAACATTTAAAAAATGGTAAGATGAGCCGGGCGTGGTGGCTCACGCCTGTAATCCCAGGACTTTGAGAGGCCGAGGCAGGCGGATCATGAGGTCAGGAGTTTGAGGCCAGCCTGACCAACATGATGAAACCACACCTCTACTAAAAATACAAAAGTTATCTGGGTGTGGTGGCATATGCCTGTAATCTCAGCTACTCAGGAGGCTGAGGCAGGAGAATCGCTTGAACCAGGGAGGCAGACGTTGCAGTGAGCAGAGATCGCACCACTGCACTCCAGCCTGGGTGACAGAGCAAGACTCAGTAAGATGGTAAGTTTTGTTTTATGTGCATTTTGCCACAATTGAAAACTTTAAAAGGTAACATGATTTAAAAATGAAGCAATACAATGAATTTTCATTTGTTGACTATCCTAGTAGCAAAGATGAAGAAAATGAACAATTCTGAGTGATGCAGAGGGTTAAGGAAAAGCAGAACTACGTATCCTTTTCTTGTACAACTTGTCTGGAGGGGAGTGATCTGAAATATGTATCAAAATGTCAGAAATGTAGCCTTTGCCGGGCGCGGTGGCTCAAACCTGTAATCCCAGCACTTTGGGAGGCCGAGGCGGGTGGATCACGAGGTCGAGAGATCGAGACCATCCTGGTCAACAAGGTGAAACCCCGTCTCTACTAAAAATACAAAAAATTAGCTGGGCATGGTGGCACGTGCCTGTAATCCCAGCTACTCAGGAGGCTGAGGCAGGAGAATTGCCTGAGCCCAGGAGGCGGAGGTTGCGGTGAGCCGAGATCGCGCCATTGCACTCCAGCCTGGGTAACAAGAGCGAAACTCCGTCTCCAAAAAAAAAAAAAAAAAGAAATGTAGCCCTTGACCAAATGAGGGGGCCTTCATGTCCTGCACTTCTGGGCTACATTTGCTGGCTCTGAGCGAACTCCTGCAGCTTCAAAGAATGCCCTGAGACGCTTGCAAACCTTGGGAAGGGGGCTCACTGTCAGTGTGCCTCCAACCTTGGCAAACTGCCCAATGCCACCGGGCTGAACTGAGACTTGGCGGAGGGGTATGTGTCGGGGCCTGCGAGGCGCCTGCGGCAGGAGGGAGGGAGGACAATGGAGCAGGTGCAGGGTGGGTCTCGGATACAGGTCCCCAGCTGGGAAGAGGAGTGCATTCCTGATGACTTCTGTTTTTCCAATCTAGTATGAAATGTCACCACCTGAGGGCTGGAGACAGGGCAATTCTGAGAAGAAAGGAAACAGTGTGGAGAGTTGCGCAGGGGGTCCAGCCTCTTGAGAAAGGACCAGGAGAGCCGGATGGTTCTGGGGCTCTTTGGGGCTGGTAGTCCTGAGTTTTCAGTGGCTCCCTTCTGCGTGGTGTGGGCTGTGCTCCGGTGGTTCTCAGTTGCACCAGGCAGGAGCAGAGGAGGCAGATGCTATGATCAGCCCTGACACTGATGTGGATAATGTGGCATGTGGACACAAGAGGAGGCTGAGAGTATAAAGTGGTGAGGGCGGCACCAGCTGCCCCACAGGGCTGCGGCAGGACAGAATGCCACTGTGTACAGAAGTGACAGGACAGTTCCCAGGTGCTAGACGAAGCTTCCTGCCATCCTTCCTTTCCCTTCCCATCCCACCATCCCCTGAGAGCATAAAAGCTGAGATTCCTGGATGGAAGTAGAGTCACCCTCATAGAGGGCACCTGTCCTGTGGCACAGGAGGAAGTTTCAGGGTCCCCACCTGCTCCCCAAAGCCCTTTCCTGTACAACCTCCTTGCCCATTGCAGAGATTGGAGCGGGCGTTACTGGTTTCGGCATCTTCTTCATCCTCTTTGGAACCCTCCTGTACTTTGATTCCGTGCTCCTGGCCTTTGGAAACGTGAGTCCCCCAGCCCTGTGTCCCCACTCCCCTGCCCCAATCTTTCTGAAGTCTCCATTGCCAGGATAGTCCTCGCAATAAAGACTTAAAATTTATTTAAGTCTTTAAATAAATCCCAAGTTTATTCAGACCATGCCCATCCAGGGTCAGACATCATCAAGCCTGGGCAGAGGAGGGCACAGGAAATGGACACAGAGCCTGCTGGCACCAAGAATCTGAGGACCTGGATGCTCACACTGAGCTCTGGGCGAGACCCTGGGGGTTCTAAGGAGACTCAGACACTGTCCCTGCCATCTGAATCCCGCTCTGGGGCTAGGGATATAACACTACATACATGGCTGAGAGGAAGGCAGGGGCCGTGGTAAAGTCACAACAGGATAAACACATTTAATGTGAAACAAGGGCTTGGTGGAAAGAGGGCACGCTGAAGTGGAGAAGGGTGGAAAGCAATTGGAAAGGAAATGGGTGTGGAGGTGGATAAAGCGCTTCCAGGGAGATGGGAACAGCAAGAGAAGAGGTATACAGAAGGAGAAAGGAATCATGGGACATGCTGGAAGAAAACCAGAGTTCACGTTGACGAGAGCCTGAGCCCTTTCAAGGGACCATTAGGAGCCAAGCTGAAGACAGGGCATCCAGGGGAGGCCTGGAGGGTTATTCTGCAGGTGGGGGAGCCTCTGAAGGTCCGTTTGACTTTCGGTGTGGCTGCCTAACCCACTAAGGCCTCAATCTTCACTTCTGTGGAATAAAAATCTCACCCAACCCCACCTTCCCTAGATAGTATGGTGAGAAATGAAGTCCCATCTGAAAGAGTGCTTGGGCTCTGGGCATTGGGTGGGCAACTAGAAACGGGCAGAGGTTCCGGTCCATCCCCCCGCCTCTGTGCAGTCCTGTTTCCAGCAAGACTTATCAAGGTTCTGGGATCCTGCCACATTGCTGGACAGCTCTCGCTCAGGTGGTCTTGAAGAGTTAGCACATCCTGCCCCTACCCACAGCTTGGCTCCGGGCCTGAGCCCCCCACTCCTCAGGGGGCTGGTGGGTTTCCTTCAAGCTCCCCTCCCTCCCCCACAGCTGCTGTTCCTGACGGGCCTCTCCCTCATCATCGGCCTGAAGAAGACCTTTTGGTTCTTCTTCCAGCGGCACAAGCTCAAGGGAACCAGCTTCTTCTTGGGTGGTGTGGTTATCGTGCTCCTACGCTGGCCCCTCCTCGGCATGTTCCTGGAAATCTACGGATTCTTCAGCCTGTTCAAGTGAGTGCAAAGCCCTATAACCCTAGACAGACCCACCAAAGGGTCTGAGTGGCTGAGATTACCCCAGCAGGGGAGTGCAGAAGCTGGGACTTTATCCCGTAAGAGATGTGAACCGTGGACACTGTGGAAAGGCCCCCTAAAGCAAACTGAAAGGTACTTTGGAGGGATGAGCCTGTCCATCAACAAATATCAATAGAGTGCTGACTGTGTTCCCAGTACTGTGCCTGTGAGTAGGAAGAGACACGAAGCCTGCCCTCAAATCTCAGCGATCCAGCCGGAGAGGAAGGGCAGTGAGCTAACACGGCCAGGCACGCTCCTGATTATCATCTGATTTTATCACGACAACTCACTATAGGATTCTCCTCCACTTCACACACAAAGAAACCAACATTCAGAGAGGTTGCCCTGGCCTGAGGTCTCAAACTGGTATGTGGAAGAGGTCATTCTTGAACCCAGGGGGCTCTGGCTCCTGGCCCCTGTGTCACCCCCTGGCCTGGCCTGTGTCAGCCCTGGGCCTGTGAAAAGGCAGAGTGGAACTCAGCCGTAGTGTGGCCACTGTCAGGCCTGTAGGCACTCAGAGGGGAGCCCAGAGTGACGTTGTAAAGGAAGTGGGACTTGAGAGAAGCCTTGAGGGATGGGGAGGGTCTGAGAGAAGTCTGGGGGGTACTGGGGAAGGAAAGTAAGGGGTCCTAGAGAAAGCGGGGGCGGGAAGGAAGACTTCATGTCTATAGGGTACAGTGGAGAGAATAGGGGTGGGATGGGGACAACGGGGATGGGGAATGATGAGAACGATGGCTTCTACAATCATGGAAGGGAGTGGGGCTCAGGAATCCCTGGGTTCTCATAGGCGCCCCTGTTTGCTGAATGCAGCCTTGAAACCCCCGATTGGCCTGAATGGTCTAGGCCTCAGAAACATGGGGAAGTGTGGCTTTAAATTTTCTCATGTATACCTGCCATCTATTTATTCCATATTCAAATATATCATTTTTCAGCTGGGTGCAGCGGCTCACGCCTGTAATCCCAGCACTTTGGGAAGCTGAGGCAGGTGGATCACTTGAGGTCAGGAGTTCGAGACCAGCCTGACCAACATGGTGAAACCCTATCTCTACCAAAAAAAAAAAAAAACAAAAAAAAAAAACCATAAAAATTAGCCAGGCATGGTGGCAAGCACCTGTAATCCCAGCCACTTGGGAGGCTGAGCCACAAGAATCGTTTAAACGTTGTGGGTGGAGGTTGCCGTGGGCCAAGGTTGTGCCACTGCAGTCTAGCCTGGGTGACAGAGGGAGACTCTGTTTAAAAATATATATATATATTTATTTATTATATATATAAATATGTATAATAAATATGATATATAAAAATATATATGTTATTTTACAACAGTCATTTATTCAAATTGTCAAATATACAATAAACACCTACTGCATGCCAAATGCAGGGCCAGGTGTGAGGATGTGGCACTGAACAAGGAGAGAGTCGCTAAGGACCTTGCAGGTTAGCAGGGAAGACACATAAGTTCTGACAGCAGTTAGCATTTATGGAGGGCTTACAGAGTGGAGTGGGACAGCAGCAGGTTCTGTACTTCAAACAGAAAGTCAGCCTTGACAAAGACACTGTGCAGTAACATAGAAGGGGCAAACGAATGACAGCTGTCAGGGACCTCAGAGTGTAGTGAAACCTTGGGAAACTGAGGCCCAAGGTCAGGAAGAGGCTCAGCCAGAATCCACATTTCAAATCACCCCTCCAATCTGCCACACACCGGGATCCCTTCCCATGCCAGCCTTGGTGCCCCCAAGCCCTGTGAGGAGTCATGCATGTGTCCGCAGTCAGGCCTTGGCAGGGTATCTCTGATGAGAGCAGAGTTGCCAAAGGCAGGGACGGCTGTGTGCCTGGGGGAGCCAGGGCACCAGGGAATATAGTGGTGAGCACGGCTTCCAACAGCCACCCACGCCCAGGGCCCAAGACGCCCGGGGCAGGCAGATCTCAGGAAGAGAAGAAAGCTTTATGCCAGAAGAGTAATGATCATGACAGTAACAATAATAAAAATAAGCATTTCCTGAGCATTTCTTTGTACACAGCCTTATGATGTACATACCGTTATTGTTAGCCACATTTTATGGCCGGAAACTGAGAGATTCAGGGAAGTTAAGGAATTTGACTAAGTGTGTATGGTGCCAGTAAGTGGTAGAGCCAAGATGTGAACCCAAGGACTGTGACCCTAGGGCCTTCATTCTTTTTTTTTTTTTTTGAGATGGAGTTTAGCGCTTGTTGCCCAGGCTGGAATGCAATGGTGCCATCTCAGCTCACCGCAGTGCCCGCCTCCTGGGCTCAAGTGACTGTCCTGCCTCAGCCTCCCGAGTAGCTGGGATTACTGGCATGTGCCACCACGTCCAGCTAATTTTGTATTTTTAGAAAAGACGAGGTTTCTCCATGTTGGTCAGGCTGGTCTCGAACTCTCGACCTCAGGTGATCCGCCCGCCTTGGCCTCCCAAAGTGCTGGGATTACAGGCGTGAGCCACCGTGCCTGGCCAGGGCGTTCATTCTTAACCATGTCACTCGGCTGCCTCTTGGAACACAAGAGTGCGAAAGCAAGCCCGCCCCCAGTGCCCGGAAGCCAGAGCTTGAGTCTTTCGGTGGACCTCAGCCTCCTGCCCTCTAGCCTCTCTTCTTGGACCATGACTGACTCCTCCCTTCTCCCTTCTGCTCCTAGGGGCTTTTTCCCTGTGGCCTTCAGCTTCCTGGGAAATGTCTACAACATCCCTTTCCTGAGTGAGGTAAGCAGATGATGCCAGCAGCCCTGTAGGGTGAGATGGAACCCACAGAGCTGATAAAACTGCTGCCCCAGGAACAGGGGCCCCTCCCCTTTCTCCCCTGAGACCCCCTATCCCAGGTGCGGTGCCTTCAACTCCTCTTCCCCCTGCACCTTCTCCATTTGACAAGAGCCCATGGGGGAAGGGGATCCAGATGCAGTCGTAGCTGAGTGTGGCTGTAGGGGAAGGTAGCTATGAATAGCTTCCTGTTTACAGCCAAAGAAATGAAGACGCAGAGACTCTAGGTGACCCAACCAGTAAGTGCCTGAGATTTCTGGGGATCTGGCTAAGTGCTGGCCCCAGGATGTGTGACAGTCGATGACGGCAGGAAAAGCTTTTCTGAGTGCGGCAGATTTTTATCCTTTCCTGGGGACAGGCATGGCCAGTGGTATCTAGCCCCTGCCCCTCCCCGTCCCTTTCTCTGAAGCATGTGGCAGAATATGAGCTCTCTGAGGAGCCCAGGGAGACCCTACAGCCAGCACCCCTCCACAGCCTCCAGCTGGACCCAGCCCCCTACAGCCCCTCTCATATCTGTGCCTGGGACAGCTCCCGGCTCTCAAGGCCAGCTCCGTAATAACCTAGATATTGCATCTGCTCTCTACCCTTTGTCTGGAGTAATGATTCTTGGCTCCCACAGCTGTTCCGGAGACTTCAAGGCACTAGCTCGATGGTCTGAACAACAGAGATGAGCTCCTTGAACTTGGATCATTGGTTGAGGGGGCTGGAGGGAGAATGGGAACCACTCCCTCAGTCCCCAGCACTGACTCACACCCCATCGTATCCGGACCGCCCCAAGTCCAGAAGGAAGAATGGAGCTGAACGACTGACCTCAAATCCCCAAGTCGAGTCAAGAGGCTGCCAAGACTGTTGGAAGCAGAGGTGCAGAGACCCAAGGAGACTGGGCTGGGGCCAACATCACACCCCCACTCTATATTTATGGGAGGAAAAGTGAAGATTAAATTCCCAAGCTGTGCGTGTGTCTGAGGCTCAAAGTTGGCATCTTAGGGCGGGCATGGTGGCTCACACCTATAATCCCAGCACTTTGGGAGGCCAAGGCAGGCAGATCACCTGAGGTCAGGAGTTTGAGACCAGCCTGGCCAATATGGAGAAACCCTAAACAGTACAAAAATTAGCCAGGCGTGGTAGCAGACGCCCGAAGGCCCAGCTACTCAGGAGGCTGAGGCAAGAGGATGACTCGAACCCAGGAGGCAGAGGTTGCAGTAAGCCGAGATTGCACCCCTGCACTCCAGCCTGGGCAACGGAGCCAGACTCTGTCTAGAAAAATAAAAGTTGGCATCTTTAGCCCATTAAATCCACCTCCTGCTTCAGGGCAGGCCAAGGTACGTATACATCATCCCCCACAGCGAAGTTCTGGTCTGTGAGTGTCAGTGCTGTCCTCATAGGCCATCATTTCTGTCCTGGCATTTATCAGCCCTAATGGGTGCGATAATCACATGTCTGCAAGCCCCTGTTAACAGCAAGCACCAGACAAGTGAGGAGTACCAACCTGCAGACTGCCGGCAGGCTTCTTAAGCATCAGGGGACCGCCAGGTCGGGTTCTGTCACATATATTCAGCGCTCCCATGGGCTGGGCAGTGAACAAAGAGTTGAGGGAATCTGTGTGTGTGTGTGATCTGTGTGTATGGGTGTGTGTGTGTATATGTGTGTGTGGTGTGTGTGCGTGTGGGGGGGGTGTATGTGTGTATGTGTCGAGCTTGTGCTGGGAGAGCTTCCTGTCTGAGGGTGGAGACACAGCCCCTGCCTTCGGAGACTCCCAACCTAAGAGAAGAAACAGTCCCTGCCCTGGAGAGCCCCTTGTCCAAGGGTAAAGAGAGTCCTTGCAGGCTCAAGAAAGAGACAAAGGTCACTTGCAAAGCATGCAGTTAGCAAATATCCATTGAGGGCCCTCTCTGTATGTGCCCAGCGATGGAGTGGGTGCCGGGGGTACAGGGGGAAGGGGGCCTTTCGCTGTCCTCAAAGTGCTGTACCCCATCAGTCACAAAACGATATGGTGCTGGGTGCCGTGAAACAAGGAGGCGGGCTCCCAAGCAGGCTGTCTGAATGTGCTGCCACCTGGAAGTCCCCTCTGCACCCCTGGCACTTCCCACCTTCTAGAGCTCCCATTTCATCCTCCTTGCTCATAGCTGGCTGCTCACCTAAGGTCTCTGACCACACCACAGTGTATTCACCTCAAAACCCTGTGCTGAGCAAGTGCTCAGTAACGGAGGAAAAAAGAGAAGCAGGCAGGAAGAAAAAAGGAGAGAATCCCACCACCACCCGCCTGCGCCAGTCACAGGGCACAGTCCAGGAACCGCCTGGAGACCCACGCTGACCTGGCTTTCCCACAGAGCTGGGAGCGCAGGAGGGATGAGGAGCCCCAGGTCAGCCTGTGCCCTTTTCCTCCCTCCTCCCTGTCCTTCGCCACTGTGTCTACTTCAGACTAGGTGTGTCTGTGGCTCTTGTCAGAGAGGGAACAAGACAATTCACACTGACGCCTCTCCCCACGCTGCTCAGATAGCACGTTTCCACATTGTTTGGGGGCAGAATGGATCCTCTGGGTGGGAAAAGAGTGTGGGGGATGGAAAGAGCAGGTGAGGAGGAGAAAGCCCGTGTCAGAGGGCTTGGGTGGGGTGGAAGGAGAGGCTGCCTCGTCACAGAGCCCAGGGGCGCAGGCGGCCAGGGGGTTGTGCTCTCCAGGAGGGTCTGAGGAGGAGGGAGGGCGGCAGAGTGGGCCTATGCTTGGAGACGTCACAGGGCTTCATAAAAGGGATGTGATCAGGGAGCTGGCGAGAGTGAGCCCAGGAGCCCAGCTGCCTACTCTCTGAGCGTTCACCCAGCCAGGTGGTCTTGTCACCTCAGCAGCTCCGCCAAGCTCCCGCCCAGGCCAGGACTGAGGCAAGGTAGGCACATTGGGCATCCACCCTTGGAGAGGGGGTCTGCCCTGACCTGGGGATGCTCCGGAGGGGAGCAGGGAATCTGCTCTAAGACGGACAGATGCATTGGGGCAGGCAAAGGCAGGGAGGGGGGACACTGACCTTTCCTGTTTACCAGCCTGCCCCGATTATCCTGGGATACCTGGGTGAATACACTAAGTCGCACTTTGTGAAGCTGGCACTCTGGGGATCTGGAGGGCTCTCTCTTGCTGCAGAAGAAATACATGCAATCAGTGAACGCTGTGGCTGGAATTAGAGACCACAGATACTTTTGGATGGACCTGGGGAATCCCTCAGGGCTCCTGAGATTAATAGGGCTCCTCTGAGCAGCTCCCCCAAATTACAGATGGCAAATACAAGCCAACCGAGGGCACCTACGAAGAACTAGGGGCCACCTTACTTCCAAAGCTTTCCTGCCATACCCAGAATTTCTCTGTTACTCACTGGGTACAAACCCCCCAGGGTGGAGGGAACCACAGAAATTGTCTCCAGCAGGTCTGGTCCCTTTCCAAATCATTCCATTCTATCACATACACTAAGTGCCCCCATGCCTTTTGTCTTTAATCATGTTTGTTGGACAATCTCAAAGTGTCTAACGACTTTTTCAAAAAGAAATTAGACTTGGGAGCTGGAAGAGATGGGGTGGGGGGTGTGTGGGGGGGGGGCAGTGAGGCAGAGCAAGGCAGGATGATGGGAAATGGTGTGAGGATCAGGGTACATGGCTCCCATTTCAGCAGCCAAAATGATGAGGCCAATTCAACTCATAGCCTCTCAGAGTCCACAATGAATAGGCTATGGAGATAATTGACCTGATAAATCAAGGAAAGGTTTTTCTCGTCCCCTGAATTACAGGCAATAAGACAATTTAATGACCGTCTTCAAGGCTGTGAAGGGATATGAGAGAGAGCAAGATGATTGCCTCTTTCTTTCTTCATCCTTAGCAAAGAAAAAGAATCAAATTTATCTTACAGCAGGAGAGAACAAGGTCAGACTCAGGAATAAGGATGGGGTGAGTGGAACACAGGCCCTGTGCCTCACCTGGTCTTTGTTCCCTCTCTCCGTCTCAGCCTCAGGGCGCTCCTGGGACCTCTTCTCGCCAGGATGAACTCACTGGTTTCTGGGCAGCTGCTGCTTTTTCTCTGTGCCATCCACTTTGGGGAGCCATCAGAAACGGCTCCTGTGGAGAATCCTAGACCCGCAGGTACGCATCCTCTGGGGAAAGGGGTGGGCGAGAGCACGTGGGCTGTTGCAAAATGAGCTTCCCCGTAGGGTTGGTATGAGTTTAACACTGCGTTTGGTGGAAACCTAAGACTGGCACATGTACAGCTCATCAAGGGGTCCCATCAACCTTGCAAGTGAGGGATGCCTTGCCTCTGTGATGGGCCTCAGTCACCCACCTAGGTTCCAGGGCTTGTTAACCCCTGAGTGCCTTCATGATTTCCTCACACTGCGTTCTCTGCTCTACATCAGCAACCTCTCTGTACTCATGTTGAGGAAGAACTTCATATGCAACCTTCCTTTATCAGATTCTTTGTGGAGAATTTGAAAAAAAAAAAAAAAAAACTGAAACAAAAAGACAGATTTTTTTTTGGGGGGGGGGATGGAGTCTCACACTGTCTGCCAGGCTGGAGTGCAATGGTGTGAGTTTTGCACTTCCAGAGTGCAGCTTGCTGCAACCTCTGCCTCCAGAGTTCACATGATTCTGCTGCCTCAGCCTCCCCAGTACCTGGGATTGCAGGCGCACACCGCCACACTTGGCTAAGTTTTTATATTTTCAGTAAAGACGGGGTTTCACTATGTTGGCCAGACTGGCCTCGAATTCCTGACCTTGTGATTTGCCCATCTCAGCCTCCCAAAGTGCTGAGATTACAGGTGTGAGCCACCGCACCCAGCATAAAAGGAGAGATCTTTGATACTATCACTGTTTGGGGACAATGAACTGTCTCCATTTCGTTGGGGAACTGATGAGCTGGAAATTTTGAGACCCACAGAGGTAAAGAGAATTCCCTAGAGTTGCTCAGTCAAACACTGCGGAAGCCCAGCAGGTGTCAGAGCACCCAGGAGTGTGTCTGGTGAGTGGCACGAGTCGAACAATGCGAGTCCCCAAGTCAGGAGCTGTGGCTTGGAACACTTCCTGGCATCAGCTTTCTGGGCAAACTAGAACCCATAGTTCAGCTTCTCTGGACCTCAGTTCCCCCAGCTATGAAACTTGGAGCATACCCTCTGCACATCTGATGCCACTGTACATGCCCGTAAGACCTCCCAGAGCACAGAGGACATGGCTTCTGGTGTCCTTTTCCAAACGTATCTTCTATCCTGGGATCAGGCATTTTTCTGAGTGAGGGAGGCTGTTCCAGACAATAACCATGCACTGCCCAGGAACATAGAGTTGTTGGCTTATTTTGGCGAAAAACTTTAGTTGAGGTTACCAGCAGCAGCCTGAACAGTGATATACTGCTGGTCTAGTGGGTGCAACTGGAGAGGAAGCCATCCTTCTCCTATCTCAGCCAAGCCCTGGATAAGGGCGGAGGGACCTTGCAGGTGATTGTCATTAACTCTGGATCAGGTCCACACTACTCTTTTCCAGAGTGTGCCAGCGCATGGAGGAGTGGGGCTCAAAGCCAGCCCCCACCCCAGCACACCCATTCACGCACCAGGCACCATTTCCACTAATCTCTTGCCACAGTGGGCTGGAGGTATTGTCTACTCCGAGCTAGTTGCCCTATTTTACTGCCAAAAAGTACAGTGAACTTAATGAGCCTTGCATGTGAAGTGCCTTCCAAATTAGCCTTGTTAATCCTCAAACGAAGGAGAGAAGTTATACCCAGGATGGAGGAAGAGAGCCAGTTAAGGTGACCTAGATAATTTTTGTTTCTCGTTGAGTCCTTATGCAGCTTATGGAGGCGGGGAGGGTCACAATTCTTATCAAAGACCAGGTTGGAACACAGGTGTGTGGGGCCACAGTAGCTTAGCTCCACTTCCTTGATTTCTGTTACTGTGTGTGTGTGTGTGTGTGTTTTTATTAGCTTTTACGTATTTAACAAGCCTTTATTGAGGCCCCACTATGAGCAAGCCACTGTTTCAAGCACTCTGAGAGATACAGTTGAATGAACATGGCCCCATCACCCAAGGAGCTCACAGCCAGGAAGGGGCCCAGAGCTGGGTGTTGAGCAAATCCTTCGGTTTTCTTTATTTCCACGACCCACTCTGTTTCCTAAAAGGAAGTAATGTAATACGAAAGTGATTTAAGCTAATTTTGGCAAACATTCTAAATCAAAGCTACGTCGGAAGAGGGAGGTGCCGGGCCTGAGATGATCCCCGCTAAGATGGTCGTGCTGGTTCTGCATGGCATTTAGCCCCGAGCTTCCAAAAAGTCAAGGAAGGAAAAGAAGGGTAGGATGCGATGTGAGGAGGCGTTGCCAAGCCGTCTTTCTCGGTCCCCGGCCTCATCTCTCTGTGCTCTCTGACCTAGGCCAGCAGCTGGGATCCCTGGCCCTCCTGGTCCCCTGGGAGCAGAGCCTGCGGAGCGCCCAGAGGAAGCCGGCTGCAACTGCCAGGCTGAGCCGTGCGCTGTGCGCACCCTCCGAGAGCTCCGGGAGCCCCCAGCAGACCGGCCCATGCGCACCCAGCAGCCGCCAGATCCCCGCACCCCGGAGCGAAGTGCAGCGGGAGCTGCCGCCACCCTACTGGAACGTCTTCAGCTTGCGCTACGGCTAGCGGGAGGTGGCACCCGGGAGCCACGGCGGGGGCGCTGGGCGGGGCTGGGGGCGCTGGGCGGGGCTGAGGGCGCAGGTGCGGGGCAGTGAACTTCAGACCCCACAGGAGTCAGAGCATGCGGGGCGGGGCGGGGCGGGGCGGGTGGAGGGGACGCCGGGCAAAGGGAGGGGGCGCTGGAGCTTCCGGCCTGAGGCAATAAAACAAATGTTGCATAAGTTACCGACTTGTGATCTGTGGCTCATTTTTGCAAGCAACTCTGATGAAGCTGTTCCTCTTCCATCCTCACTGGATAGTTAGCTGGTTTCAGGATGCCTGTGGTGTCATTAAGATCAGTGCTTCTCACACTAGATGTAATGAAGGAACAGGCGGTTAGTTCTCCAATCCATTGCAGATGGGTACTTAAAACAAAACAAAACAACAATTTAAATTGATCACTGAAAACCTAAAAAAATTAAAAACAACAAAAGACCAAGTTGGATGGTGCTTGAATGTTTCAGCGATATGAAATTTCTATAAAAACTCTGGAGCTGTCCTCAGAATGCCTAGACTTATCTCCCTGAGGATAGGTAACATTTTGCAGAGGGACATGGCTCACTGCCCACACTTTGAGTAGTACTGGGCGGTAAGGGCGGTGTGGGGGAGATGGACTGATTAAGTACCTTTCCCTTTCCCAGAGAAGTTGGGCACCTTGATCTGGAAGATGATGCCAGTCACTGATCTCTCCATTGAGGCTTAAATATCACCTGAGCCCCACAGTCAGACCTCTGCTGGGGTCTTAGATGCAAGGGGCATCGACATCGGACCAGCCACTCACTCTCCTCTCTCCCCTCCAGGGAGCCAGGTTGAATCTTTACACATATTGCTTTTCTTCATCCTCATAACTACCCAGGGTGATGGGCATGCATTGGCCCCATCTTTATAGGGAGAACCATGAAGTTAAGAAGGATAAATCACTCGCTCCAGGCATGGGCAATGAGCTCCAAGCCTAATAGTTCTCCTGATACCAGAACCTGTCTTCCCCACTGACCTGTCATGCCTCTCTGCCATGGCAGGGTTTCCATCAGAGTCAGCCAGATGCCGATCAAGAAAGGGTAGCCTGCCTCAGGGGGACTTACTTGGTGGTGCAATAGCTGGGGAGTAGAAATTGTGGTAGGAAGAGGTAGAGCTCATCAGTGGGAAAACCCCAGGAAATCCACCTCCTGCCCACGAGAAAACACAGCACTATTTAATAGCCTCAGGGTACCCCTATGCTGCTCAGTCTAGGATGAAAACGTTCTTACCAAGAGGGATGGTAGGACCCACCCCCATACAGTGAAGTGCCACAGTATTCCACCCATTACGGAAACCAGGACTCCACAGGATGAAGGCAGAGCTGTGTTACTATGGCAATGAGATAGGCTGTCACGAGAACATGACAACCTGCTCCCCCAACTCTACCCTTGAAAGTGCTCTCCAGGATCTCTCAAATTATCGGTACTGCTGTGAGCTCACATAATCACGTGTCATGACAACATGATGTTGGTATTTGGAAGGGCTTTTCAATCCCCGATCACCCTGGGATGTGTCTCTGTACCTCTAGAAGCAGAATCATCAACTCAACACCTATTCTGTTAAGCATGTTCTCCTAGCACGTGCAAGCAAGCCTCTCTCTGATGATGAGTAGGAAGAGGCTGATGGTTTCCTGAATTCTGCTCTTAGCCAGCCTAATTTTTACAAAACTTCCTGTTACCCCATTTACCCTTCCTCACAAGCTTAAGTTTGGGCAGATGGGAGGGTGTGCATGCTGCTTCAAGTGCAGGAGAGGGAAATGTGTTCTCTGGGGTGAGAAAATGGCCTGTGTGTGAGAGGGCATGCATGTGGGGGCTAGATATGAGAAATTGCACACGTTCATATGCACATGCCTGCATGACCTTGTATATGGTTCAGGTTCCTCTAACCATCTTCTAGTCCTTGTCAGCACTGCTGCAACCCAGGAGTCCTCCAAGATCTCTCGTCTAGCTGACCAGAGGCCCTGCTTCAGCAGACAGCTGGAAGAGAGAGGAATGCCTGTCCCATGCTTCTAGCAGCCTGAACTGCTACCTTTGAGACTCTGGGCTTTGCAGTTCTTGGCCCCGTGTCTTGGGAAAAGTTGGGGAGTCTCTGTGGAACAAAAGGGATTTCTGATTTCACATGGCTCTCAGCCTCTGAACCTACTGTCCAGATCCAAGGGAAGGAGAGGGGAAGATTGGAGGCTGTGAAGGCCGCAGGGACTCCCTTCCCTCCCTCCGGCCTTTCTGGTGGGCTCAGAGAGTGGGGCACTGGAGCCTAAACACTTGGAGATAGGGCTGCCCATGGTCACTCGAACCTACTTCTTCTTGGGGTCTCTGGACAGTGCCCAAGGGGGAGAAATCAGCAGGGCCCGGGCATCCCCTGTAGGTGGAAGTGGGAGGATCTCTTCCCAGGCTCCACCCCTTTTGGTAAGTCTCAGTAGATGCCGGCTAGGAATTTGGGGCAGGGGCGAGAGGGATGCGGGCCGTTTCTGCCTCTATTATCACTCTTCTCATATTCACAAGTCATCTTTTCAGTACCTGCAGCATGCCAAGCACAGGCCTGCCTCATACTGTCCTCACAAGGGCATGAGGCGGGAATACTATCCCCATTGTATAGAAGAGAAAAGTGAGGCTTGAAGAGGTGAAGTGGTGTGCTCAAGTAGTTGCAAAGTCATAGAGGCAAGAGTCAGACCCCCACATTCTAATTGCAAATACCATCAGCTTCCTACACACTGCAGCCTTTCCTTCTTCGGTAGCCCCCACTCCACTTAAAAAAAAAAAAAAAAAGTGGCCGGGCACGGTGGCTCAAGCCTGTAATCCCAGCACTTTGGGAGGCCAAGGCGGGTGGATCACGAGGTCAAGAGATCAAGATCATCCTGGTCAACATGGTGAAACCCCGTCTCTACTAAAAATACAAAAAAATTAGTTGGGCATGGTGGTGCGTGCCTGTAATCCCAGCTACTCAGGAGGCTGAGGCAGGAGAATTGCCTGAACCCAGGAGGCGGAGGTTGCGGTGAGCCGAGATCGCGCCATTGCACTCCAGGCTGGGTAACAAGAGCGAAACTCCATCTCAAAAAAAAAAAAAAAAAGTGCTGCCAGGTAGCAGACCCCATCCTTTTCCTGAACGATTTGTCTTGGGAAGCAGTCTGGCAGGCAGTGTCACTCAGCCCAACCCATCTGCAGCGCCTCTCCACAACACTAGTGACAATACAGGCAAGTCACCAATCCCCAGGGCAAGCCTCCTCTTCTCAGATGGCATGCCAGGGCCCACACATCTGCTTTTGCCCTGCCTGCCTTCTCTCTCTGACAGCAGCTTCCCAGGTCTAGAATTGGTCACAGGGAGGGGAAGGACGTCAAGTCCAAAGAGTGTGCCCTTCCTCACCTTCTGTGCCTTCTTCCATCTTCCATTCTAAAAGACATCAGAACCCATCAGCGTTTCTTTCTTGGCTCAGAGTTGGGAGTCTGGGGATGGGGCTTGTTTTTGGTTACTGGGGAAGCCAACACATGGCAAACAGCTCCCTAGTTTCATCACCCTGTGGGGATGAAAATTAGACATGATTCCTCTAATATCTGCCTAATAGTCTTTACAATTAACCCTATAGCATATTAGCTTCATAAAATGCTAAAAAGTACCACTTTGAATACATCTGAGTTTACTCACTCCCTAAGCCCCTTAAAAGACGGCAAAGGAGGTCAGGCATGGTGGCTCACACCTGTAATCCCAGCACTTTGGGAGGCTGAGGCAGGTGGATCACCTGAGGTCAGGAGTTTGAGATCAGACTAGCCAACGTGGTGAAACCCCATGTCTACTTAAAATACAAAAATTGCCGGGCGCGGTGGCTCACACCTGTAATTCCAGCACTTTGGGAGGCCAAGGCGGGTGGATCACAAGGTCAAGAAATCGAGACCATCCTGGTCAACATAGTGAAACCCTGTCTCTACTAAAAATACAAAAAATTAGCTGGGCATGGTAGCACGTGCCTATAATCCCAGCTACTCAGGAGACTGAAGCGGAGAATTGCCTGAACCCAGGAGGCGGAGGTTGCGGTGAGCCGAGATTGTACCATTGCACTCCAGCCTGGGTAACAAGAGAGAAACTCCGTCTCAAAAAAAAAAAAAAAAAAAAAAATACAATAATTAGCCAGGTGTGGTGGTGGGCACCTGTAATCCCAGCTACTCAGGAGGCTGAGGCAGGAGAATTGCTTGAACCTGGGACACAGAGGTTGCAGTGAGCTGAGATCGCGCCATTGCACTCCAGCCTGGGAGACAAGAGCAAAACTTCATCCCCACCAAAAAAAAAAAAAAAAGTCAGCAAATGAAGAAAAAAGGTATAAATCTTCAAGGACAAAGAAAAGGGACAGGAAACCATAGCAGATGAGAAATGTCAACAAGATTTTGAAGATTGAAATTGTAAGGAGGGCTTGGCAGAGAGCAAAGGAAACCACAACCTTGAACCCAGCAAACGGAGTTACCAAGGGGACGTAACTGATTCCTGCCCAGGACCAAGCCTCGGCATGTGGAAGTGTCTGGTAGGGAAGAAACTTGAACAGAAACAGGGAGATTGCCTGAAAATCTGCTAGACTTCCCGAGTCCCCTCCCCCAGCCAACACAACCAGGCTACTCTGCCAGGAAGAGGCCAGACGCTTCCTCTCCTGAGGACTGCAGTGGAGACACTCCAGTCATGGGGACAGCAAGCACAATCAGGACGGGGATTGTGAGAGTGGCTGAAGGTTGAGTGTGGTGCCACACACCTGTCATCCTAGCACTCTGGGAGGCCAAGGTGGGCGGATCCCCTGAGGTCTGGAGTTCGAGGCCAGCCTGGCCAACATGGTGATACCCTGTCTCTACTAAAAATACAAAAATTAGCTGGGTATGGTGGTGTGTGCCTGTATTCCCAGCTACTCAGGAAGCTGAAGCAGGAGAATGACTTGAACCAGGAGGCAGAGGTTGCAGTAAGCCAAGACTGTACCA